GTGTGTAGACCNATGTGTTTTTTATATCTAATTTGCAAAATTGTTTTCATTGTTTTTGTTTTGCTGCAAATTGTTCGTGACTAACATTAGGTGGTATATATATTTCGTGTATATTTTATGACGAATTTAGTTAGTACGGTTTTAATGTTCAATTTTTTGTATATGTTTAAATTATTGATGGTGGATCGATTGAATTTTAAAAATTATTGAATATAGGTAAATGAATCGCTCATATGTTAAAGAAAATGATGTTTTTGTCTTTTTATAATAATTCTAATACGTTCTCACGAAAAAAGNCATATATTTCGTGTATATTTTATGACGAATTTAGTTAGTACGGTTTTAATGTTCAATTTTTTGTATATGTTTAAATTATTGATAGTGGATCGATTGAATTTTAAAAATCATTGAATATAGGTAAATGAATCGCTCATATGTTAAAGAAAATGATGTTTTTGTCTTTTAATAATAATTCTAATACGTTCTCACGAAAAAAGTTTTTCAATAAAATTTGTTATCATTCAGCTATAATTTAAAAAGATATATTCTAATTTTCATATATAATACATATACACTGGAAGCTATTAACGCGTACAATGTAAGGGAAAATTTTAATAAATAGTGATAGAAATGTTATATATTTATGTATTGTTGATACTTTGTGTCAAAATGACACTACTGGTGTGTTACATTAACATATATATTAAAAATATCTACAGACAAATTAACATTTTTGGATTATTTCTTATATTATATGAATTTTGTTTCACTTTAAATGAAATATAATTTTATTGAGTTGTACAATTAAATCATATTTACCAATATTTATTCACTTTCTACAAATCGAAATTAATGTTTTGCGCAGTTAGTACCGATTCTATAATTTGTTGAGCCCTGGGCAAATTATGAACGCGGGATATAAACTTAATTAACTATTGACTAAATAAAATTTTTATTGTTCATAATGCTTAAGCTTTAAAACCACAAAACAATAGGGCCTTGGGCGTACGCCCTACTATATCTGTCCTTTACATAATTGATAATTTTTAATACGAAGCTATTAGTTATTAATATGAAATGTATAACTATTTAATACAACTCTGTTTGGGTCTAAATTAATATCGAGTTGTTATATTAAACTAACGTGTAAACGTTCATAACAATAGAAGTAGTTTTATTGATTCTGGCCAAACAATTGCTCACAACTATGCAGATACTTTTTATGAGCGCAATAAACATGGGTCGACGAATTAAGCTTTGTAAAATGTCTTCAAACCATCAACGTTCTAAAATCATTGTTGTAATCGTTACAGCCTTCATGGATCGTTCAAACATCTCGCGATAGCAATCCCATCCATTCCAAAAGCATAATATTTGTGAGTATCGTCATTAATTAAACTGTTATAGACGAAAAGTTCGTTTTTTTATTTATGACCTTGAGAAGTTTGTATAGATATTTCTCTTTATTTATGGCGGAAATAAGTAGTTCAAAGTTATAGTCTCGTGTAAAACTTACAATTGCTAGTCTAACATCGTTTTATTAGCTAGTCATAGATTTTTTTTTTTTTATACGCCGCATCTATTATTTTTCTAGATGCGCAATCTAAAAATATTTCAGATGATTTAATATTATTATACAGTCATTTTTGCTGTAATGTAGCAATCGTGTAATATAGACGAAGTACACTGCGGAAGTTGTGTAACAATATAACTATAGGACTTAAATTAAAGATACATCATTATAACTACACTTAATGTTGAATATGAAATAACATAGTGAACACTATTATCTAATATCTGACCTTATTGCGGATGAAACGCAAAATTCAATTGTCTATTTAGTGTATTATTTGATCTATTGCAAAAATATTGCGCATAAAATAATAATTCCTGATTGTTAAAGATTTCAAAATTAAAGATATCTGCAATAGAAATATTAATAGACGTGTTTGCGATTAAAAATTAATATTGTTTTCATCATGTTTGAAATATTGTAATACATACTTCAGCAATTTTGTTCTGTTTTATAGTAATAGTGTTTACAATTAACATACACTCATATACTCGTAATTAATCTAACATTAGATATTATTTAAGTAATATTCTATTATAAACAAAATACTTTGAAACTTTATATATTATTATTTTTCATTTATCGATTTAATTTCCTATCCTCAGAACCTTACTTGACCATAGTAACAATAATTTTTTTTGTGATTGAGTGATATGTATTGTTACAACAAAACCCACGTGTTTCATATTTTAAAATATTATTAGTACGTGACGTAGACGTCTTATTATTACATACGCCAGCAATTACTTATCACGTTAAAAACCTGGTGTTAAACAAAGAGTCCAAAAATTAACAACCGACTATACCTTGATACTTTATTTGCTAACGTCATCAGTAACTAGAGTTAACTGGTTTTTTTAACATGGTTCTAATGTCAGACATCCGTTTGCCCAAACTCTAATGAGTGTGGTTGTAACGTACGCGATGTGCATAATGGAATTGTACAAAAATTCTTCATGTGGGTCAATTATCACTAGTAAAAAACCACGTGAACGCGTACATGACGGTTTAGAAAATTATTTTACGTTATTTATCTAGTTTTTAAATTAGGACATCATTAAAGTACAAATGTTAATCGTGTAATCTTGTCTTTTGGAATCCTTGAGTTGTCATAACAGATGATATAATGTTTAGCAATTCATATATACTCTTTGCCGTGTCGTGTACATATTTAAATATCATTTTAATTTAAACTATAAAACATGCTTTGTCAACTTTTTTGGTAAATTTCAAAATCGCGAACCAATTGTAAAATTTTCATTTTGATATTGCGTAACTCGGTCAAAATATTGATAATAGTGTTGGAGTTATGTCTAACTGACCAGAACATGATATGGAACCATCTTTTGTAGTCAAAACAAGAATTAGAAACTATATAATTAATGTGGTATTTCCTCGTGTCTTCGTGGGGCAGAGACTCCTAACATGGTTTGGATTATAACGCAATATAATGAATGCCGAACACGTTGCCAAGGCGTTCATGTCTCCTAAAATTAAACGTCTGCTATTCACCTCTTTGACGTCAGTGACAATGATAATGAAAACTTAAGACGTCCTTAATCTGAAATCGTAATATAGTCAATATTCGTAGCCTATTGTTGTGGTAGTTTTGCATTTTATGACGTCCATCAGTAACTTCCGCCTTCTGTCGAGTATTAAATGACAGGCCTCACTGAAAATCGATAACTCGCATTTCGGCAACTGTGTAGATAATATAATCGTGACCCGAGCGAAATTGTTTATTTTCTTAAATAAATATTTATACTTGAGTACTAAAAATATAATTTCGTATAATTATAATTTTAACAGGCGAGTATGGATTTTTTTTCTTATACATTGTTACGCAATTATTAAGTTCAAAGCGTCTAAAAGTCTGTAGTCGCGGCCGCGGCGTTTGGACTTTCTATTGATCTAATCATTAATTGGTGAACGCATGTAGCAACGTCTATCAATAATTGATAGACATTGCTGCGCTGTTAAATAAAAATAATAATTATTTCTGCAGAGTCATAATTATCTTTTATCTACATGTGTCGGTTAATCCCGTATTTGCACTCGACGGGTTCGCAGGTGGTATACAAAATTAACGAAATTGTTATTAATACTATCACCTTGATGTGTACGATAATAGAAGGGTAAACAAAACATTATTTAATCAATCGGGTAGTAGTCTATTCGTATTTTAACCGTTGGCCAACTTTTAACTAGTAATAGCTGAGGTTATTTCGTAAAAAGTAACACCAATCTAGTAGCCTGCGGCGTGTGAATAACCTTTTAACCTCAGTAAGTAGTTATTTACGAAATGTGTCCCAATTTGTACATAAAAATATATTCATTCTTGTGTATCATTCCATGATGTTATCTTATTGATGTAATTTATTATAATATTATTTATGATAATATTAAAAAAAAAAAAAATGTAAAACATGAAAATAGTTGAGATATTGGTATGGTTGGATTTTAGAATATTATTTTTGTAAAATTCATATCAGATTCATATTTTTTACTAGTAATTACTAAGTTAAGTAGTAAGACCTTGAAAATAACGTAACAATACATGGCCTAGGTTGTCTATAAGGCTATGAGAAGAGCAATTTAAAATGCACCTTAATTTGAATAACATTTAGATTTATTTTTTAATCGTTGGACAAAAAAAGTGACGTTGATGGTGCCTTTTTGATGAAATTTGTCAAAACAACATTATTAACACAACATTATTAGAAATCTTCAGATAAAATGTTTATTTTATCTTAATTAGAATAAAATTCATTTTAAGTTATCTTACGTACTTAAATATGTGATATGTGCATTAAATATAATTTTCGAAAAAGTACTTTCTTACGAAATTTTATTATATAAACTTCCATAACATGTACATTTTTTTCTATTGTGTAAAAATCAAATTCATTGTCTTAATTTTTATAAGTGTTGTAAAAAACTTAAAAAATAATGTAAACTTTTAAAAATTGATTAACTTTGTGTGGCAGATATAAAAATGAATAGTGGACGATTATAAAATAATTTTTATGTTGAGATATTTTTTTAAATAAGCATTAGCCAATAATTGCAATTTCATGACGTAGTACATTATTTAATTAATTTGTTGTGCTAATTGGTATATTTAGCGTGACAATGGATTAAAAATGTTTTTAAAACAATTTATTTTATTTCATACCATAATTAAATGCCTCGGTAATTGTCTTAATAATTATGAATTACGAATATCTTAATATTGTGACACATAAATTCATTTTAAAATAATTTTTGAGTTCAAATATACTCACAAGTTGAATCTTAACCAATGTCTATTTTATCTCTTGCTCTTATAAAACTATGAGAGTTGTCATATCAAAGTTTTAATTATTATATACATTTTGATTGTTAATTGCTATAAAAATAACTTATAATTCTTTTTGTTTGTTTATAGATCACGATTGGTGGATCATGCTTATGGACTTTACTTTAAGGATCAGACTTACTACAGGGTTAGCAATATGGATGGTCGCATTGAAAACGCCGACCACCGTCTTACAGATGACATCACTGCATTCACTTCGTCTGTTGCTCATCTTTACTCGCACCTGACCAAACCTTTATTTGACTGTGCTCTGATAGGTCTTACGATGGCTAGAAGTAATAGAAAAATGGGTGCTGCTGTCATACCTGGTAAGTTAAGATGCCATCCAGTGTTCGATTGTTTTTCATAGTTGAGATTCAGATGAATCAATTCATTTCACTGACCATACCAATAACATTGGTGTATTGTTATACTAGAATATAATTAATTTACTTAAAATGAGCCCTTATTTTCAATAAGTGATTTAAGTTACTAAAATATTAGACGACCACAAGTTGTTTATTATTTAGTTCTTACGTAATTTGGCCAACAGTTTTAAGCTTCCAACAATAATATTCAATTTATATTCATATATTTTTACTATACAAATAGAATGTCACACAGCAGTGTTAGATGATCCATAAGATTATTTGAATTCAGCTGTTTATTAAATACCAGATGATTGGACAACTACTACCATATCTTTATTGTAATAATTTAACCTCCAAAATTGTCTCTGGGAGATATATACTGGATCACAAAAAATCGTGTAATACATGTGTTGTATCTCTCGAAGGTTTCTCTATTAATTATTATAAAATATTATTTTTTTTTATCAAATCTATTCTTACTTTATACTTATTAACATTTTTATTTTACTTATGAAACCCATACAATTTTTTTTTAATTGATTTTAACTATTAATCAACTTTTATTTATTTTTGAGACAATAATATATGTTTTTAAAATGTCGTGTTCCATATACTTGCAACTTATTTCCATATTATATCTTTATTGATATTTTCCAGTTCAGTGTCAGTAGTGAATAAATCAAATGTATCCTCAATGTTTGAAGATTTGTTTGTTTCATTAAAAATGATAACTCATAGAAATATGTCATTTACAGACATGATAGTTTTATAAGTCAGAATTCGTTTCTCTTTAAAAATTAATCGTTCTGATCGCGTAACTCTTATATTGATAAGATCTAATATATCACATGAGTAGATATGGAAGTTAAGAAGAAAAACACTAAATTGATTTTGGCTTAAATTAAATGATAAATATTTTAAACATCGTTTTACTAGAAAACTTACGATCATATATAATTGTAAAATAAAAATAATAATAAACAAAATTAAAAAGACTACGTAAGGGTAAAATTATATAATTATTTAAGGATAGATTATAAGATTGTCACATTAAACCTTCATGAAGATTGTTAGAGTCAAGTACTGCATTTCCTACATTCCTTAAAAAAATGTACATTTGAAAACCGTAAATAATTGATATTTTTCCCTTTATTGCCTTTGCGTCCTTCGGTCAAATAATCATAATGTTATCAACAGTCAATATTATTTTTAAATTAAATTTTATATTTTTAAAAAAAAATAATCTAAAATATTAAAAATTATACATGCAAAATGTTCAATTAATAATTGCGACATGGTAAAGTTGATATTAAGTAAAAAAAAAAAAATTTTTTTTTTTATTTTTTTTTCTCCTATATAATTTTTTAGTTCTTTTGATTTGGTACTTTTTCCGTGTCAATGCCTCAATTGTTTCTTTTAGACTGTTTTCTTTAAATAATCGCTAAAATATCACTTGGTAGCAAATTAGAATATTTGTTTACAATCAATGTTCTCTACGAGTATCATAAAGTTGAATTCCGTTTTAACTGTATTTGAGGTAAATTAATTCAATAATGATTGAATAAAAGTAACCTGTTTTTGAAAATAAGTAATTATTTCTATTCTAGGTGAGAAGTAAAACTATTGTCAAGTTTACTAAATGATACCCTCTCTTTTTTTTCAATGTCATCATAGAAACAAATTTCTTCTTAAAACCATTTATTTTTTTTATTAATTATTATAAATTTTAATACTATAGTAGTAATATTATTACTCTATTTTGAACTCACTAATAGTATAAATGACCTTTTCTGTCAACGTTAAATAAATTGTGTTTATCTTCATTTGTTGCTGGTAAGATTAGTATATACGTTATATGGTTAATTAACTAATATAATATGTGTGATTTGATGTATTTCACGTTTGTTTTGAAGGAACTTAAAAATATTATTTAGTATAACCTGTAATTCCATTTAGGCAATGACTCGATAAATTGTATGTACTTAAACGTAAGTGGTCAAAACATTGAATAACCTTCAAAAAGTTATTCGTCCTTTACTGAAGATTTATGTTTTCAAAAAATTAATTTTGAAAATAAAACCTTTAAATGTATATCATGATAAATTGACTATAATTTTAATGTTTAGTTTAATAAATTATTTTATTTAATTTTGAAGTATTTTTTGGTTTTATTCTTAATAGTTAAATATTAACTTTTTCATTAATAGTTCTTATCGTTTCTTTTCCGAGATAAATATCATTAATTTCATTTGTATTTGAAATACAATTTAAAATAATTATTACTCAATAATTATGGCTGATAGTTATTATACTAATAACTATTACTCATGTGATTGAGGAATTAATTAATTACTTATTTCACAGTAATTACAAAAAAAAACAAACATCAATTTTAATTTTACACTTGAAAAAGGAATTAAATTCGCAAGTATTCGAATTTATATTTAAGTTTTAATATGATGTTTATGGAATTAGTGTATTATATTACTAAGATTAGACATCTATTAATATATATGATATTCTAGTCTGACACAAAATATGTTAAACAATTTTATGATATATAATTTTACCACACACATGAAAGGTCTCATAATATCAATTTTTTATGACTATCTGTTTATGTTAATATTGTTATGCAATCAATATACTTATACCAAAATAAACTGTTTGATACTCCTATAGAGTACAATGCTAAAAGTGAACATTAAAAAAAATTGTAGTTTTTTTCTTAGATCAAACATTAAACGTAATAACGCTCCAAAAATATTTACTTTCATTTTAAGCCGGTTGTCGATAGAATTTAGACGGAAGTAGTTTTATCAACGTGAAAATTTATTACGAATAAAATTGCATATATTTAACTGGAAGTATATGTTGATGATTCTGTTACAGTTTTATTGGTTAGTAAAAAAATAATAATACAGAGAGAATCAGACGTGTTCAAAACTTGAATTTTCAGCAACATAGATGCACGATAGAAATATTCTTATTTTTCTTTAAAAATTAAAAAGTTATTTACAGTGATAAATGTACCGGACTTTATTTGAACTCTATCATATATTTTTAAAAGTAAAAACAGGTTAGACTATTATCAACTATAGTATACAGTTGTCAGGAAGTAAAATTTCTTAATATTATGTAATTGATACCAACTCGATATGGAATTTTATAGTCTCATATGCGGAATTATTTTAAATACAATATTGTAATTGATTAAATTTAAAAAAATATTACATGCTTATAATTTTAAATAATTTTCTCAAATTTATTTATAATTTTATTCTTTTTACATAAATTGAGCAATATATAACTAATTAAATTAACCATTTGATTATGTGTTGATTTTTATTTTTAATTGAAACATTTGAATTTAAAACGAAATCTTTCTATGAATTTCAGACTTTTCATCGAGTTAAAAACAGTAATTTAAATTTTTATCTCGTCGTGTTTAATTTAAACAAAGTGTATTTTTTCAAACATTAAATTGACCTTAAAAATTCAAAAAATGTAAAAAAAATTTTTTTAATGCGAGATAAAATACTTTTTGCTAAATAATAAGTTTTACTTGGATGTGTATGTTTTATTATTAATCTTGTTTACCTAAAAACCTGGAATACCTGTCTATTTCTTATTTTCCTTGACCCACTGCTTAACAGGAATTTAATTCTTTTATTAAAATAGAGTAAATTCAGTACCGTTATTTTATGAGATGGGTAATGGCACGTCAACAACGTATAACAATTTTATATAGTCAGTAGCTTTAAAAAATATGAAAAAATTATGATGTGTTACGCATTACTATCATAACCAGGACTCGGGACTTAAAACAATTAAAACATTTTTTTTAGACCACTTCAAAACAACATACTTTGTAAAATAGTATCATGAGAGCATATTTTTATTAAAGGTAGACTGATACCACCCACGCTACCAATAATTCCAAATTAACATAATTTTTTTAATGTTAAAAAAACCAAAAAACAAATATTTGTTATTGTACTAGATATGACCAACACAAATTTTACAAACACCAAGTCCCGAGCCCTGATTATAACTAAGTAAACAATAACTATCGCAAATGCACAAATCATTCAATGATCTGTAATGATTAAGATATCTGTCCCCAAATTTTAATAGCATTTATACGAAATCCTTGAAAAATCCTTGTTGTTAATTCAAAGTCATCGAAATGGCCGATATGTTTCGCTTTCGACATTTACGATTGACAAAACCAATGATATTGTCATTGAGTTAGAAGTGAGTAGTAAAAAGTTCCAATGTTATTCAGATGAGTTCTGAAATATTTTGCATAAAAACATGACCTTTCTGGTGTGCAAATGTTAAGAATATAAAAAAATTACAAAGAAGAAGTTAATCGAAAAAATTTACAAATTTTATAGTATTTTAATCTATAGTACTTTTGGTGTAAAAATTTAAATGCGCCTAAGTGTTCTTGGCACTGAAATATCAATAGCTGTACCATGTAAATTTATAAATATTTTATTAAAATTATTAATTAATATAAATATTAAATACAATATTTACTCAAACGCTAAAAAGTACTTGTGACATAATAATATCCATTAAATGCCATGTTTAGTTAATAATATGCGTACATATGAGCATAATTTGAAATTATGTCCATTTGCTTATGCATTTTTTTATCTATTTTTAAACATTTTTATAACGAATAATACATATGTAACACAAATCATGTTTGATAGTCAGCATTTATAATGTTTTACGTCATTTTAAAAATTCAAAACTGCAATGAAGTTAAAAAAGAATTCTTCATTAAATTTTCAATTTTTATTTTATATCTTTGACGTAAGTGTTGTCGAATGAGGTATTTATTTAAAATTTTACATACAGTGTAATGTTATCCAGATTAGTTAATTCCTTAAATTACATTTTAAATAAAATATATGATTTTTCTTCCTCATAAATTATGCAAATTTTAATTATTTAATACTTCTATTCGATAATGTATTTTATGCGCATTCACGTCATCATATTATGATGAAAATAAACGTCAGAGTTATTTTTCACATGTTTAAATTGTTGGGGTAATTATTTACTCCACGTGACCGTCTGAAGGTTAATAATCTCTTTGTCTCCTTAAGACTATCAGTGCAGTTTGTTATATTTGTATATTAGAGTTTCATATAGAGTTTTACCATCTTCTGAAAACATAACACTTATTCTTATTATTGGAATAAACTTTTAGGTTCTTAATATTTATGATTTTTATTAATTAAAATTTTCTCAGTACATTTCAATAATGTCAGTTTACATTGGATAGGTTTTACTAGAGATATGAATAAAAAATAAAATTTCAAACAACTGATGTTTGATATTTACACTTTTATAATTCTATATACTCCACAGAACTATATTTTTACTTAATTTTGTACATCAAATTGTACAATCCAATAACGTATTAACGTACTCGTCGTAAATGAGTTTTATCAAATAGTAATAAATGTTTTTTTTTTTTATTAGCAAAACTTTCATTTTCAAGTGTTCTGTGTATCTGATAATATATATATATATGTTTTTTGTTACATTCGTTTGTACCACAAAGTTATAAAACTGTTAAAGAAATTATTTCTAGAAAGAGAAAGTTTGCTCACGTGTATCGACAAGTTTTAGTAGCATCGCTGCAGTCCATGTTACAACATTTACAGTGTAAAATATATTACAAAGTATTGTTTCAACACAAAGAAAATACAGTAAATAATAAAATGCGCGAATGAATTATCTACATCTATTTTTAAAACGGTGTTGCAAATTAAAGTTTATTAAACGTTTACAAGTCTAAATGATCTGTATTTTCTAGGTCGATAATTAACAGTTACAGTCGGAAAATGACTAGTTCAATTATGAAAAAAAAAAAAACACGATATAATATTCTTCTGACTGGATGTTCTTAAAATAACTATCAATCAATATAACTATTAACAGTTTAATTATTTTTTTCAGGGCCGTTGTTGGCTATAGTAGTCATTAGCATTACCGGACAAATATTGCGGATGCTATCACCGAAATTCGGTTCTTTGGTTGCTATAGAGGCCGATAGAAAAGCATATTTACGGCATATCCACTCCAGGGTTATTACAAATGCTGAGGAGATCGCGTTCTACGGCGGGCACAAGGTAATACATGCGGTTAACCTAATGTGTTGAGTACTGTGCATTGTTTGCACATGCGTACCGGTATTAAATAATAGTGTCCAGTTGCTAGCCCTGGTATATGACATTATATCATGGGTTGACGACCCATGATGCACACTAGAAAAACACATCAGATCGTATGCATAATTCAAACGACTAATTTTAAGTTGTTTTCAATTGGGTCAAGGTCTCTCGACTTGTCCAAAGGACCTTAACGTAACACGCGACACGATTGGACGTTATACATATTATACTCTGTAAAAATAACAGTTTAACTGCTATATAATTGATATTTGATTAGTAAAATCGGATCATGATAATCTTGCTTTACATAATTTGCATAATGGTTGTTGTTTTTATAGGTAGAAAAGAACCACTTGCAAAATGCATACAAATCTCTGGTGCAACATATGAATTCTGTGTTTACCCAAAGATTGTGGTACGTGGTTCTTGAACAGTTCCTAATGAAATACGTTTGGAGCGGAACCGGAATGGTGGTCGTCTCTCTTCCCATAATAACTAGTTCAAGAGTAGCAGGTACTGCTAATGTGTAGTATTTATAATTTACTGTTAAATTTATTTCGAACAAAAGTGTATGAATTTCTGACCTACTATTTGGACTTAACGTGAAACCTATTGGCTTCAGATGTCGCCTAATCAAATAGTATGGGTCAAGCAAAAGCAAATTTTTGGTCTGTTGTAAAATAAGTAGTTTCGATTAAATGTCTAATAATAGTTTAAAATTAAGCTACCCATATGACTGAAGGCCTTGTGAAATTCTATTAGAATTTATCGAATTCTCTGAACAATTAATAGTTTTTACGTTTTTTTGTTTGTAATTCTTATGATAATCTAGTTGAAATAATTTTTTTTTNTTCTGACCTACTATTTGGACTTAACGTGAAACCTATTGGCTTCAGATGTCGCCTAATCAAATAGTATGGGTCAAGCAAAAGCAGATTTTTGGTCTGTTGTAAAATAAGTCGTTTCGATTAAATGTCTAATAATAGTTTAAAATTAAGCTACCCATGTGACTGAAGGCCTTGTGAAATTCTATTAGAATTTATCGAATTCTCTGAACAATTAATAGTTTTTACGTTTTTTGTTTGTAATTCTTATGATAATCTAGTTGAAATAATTTTTTTTTTTATTATAATAAAATCGTACTATTACAGACCATTGATTTGAATTACGTTTTTATTAGTAAATTTTTAGATTTTTCATGTTGAAATAGATTTTGTGTTCTTTAAAAAACGAGTCTAAGTAGGTTTTTAATTATTATTAAACTGTTAAAATGTGTGAATCAATTAGTAAAAACTGTATTCCAAATTATATAAAATACTTTTATAAATTTTAATGTATATTTCAAGACTTCAATTAATTGAGAGTTGAATGAAAAAAAAAAATGTCATTTATTTAATAATGTTCTTGTTTAACTCGGTATGTTGTTGTAAAAGTGTTATGGATTCGATTGCTTTTTATATAAACTCCGCTGATATATATTACTTATTATTAATTTTTTTTTTTTTTGGTGGTATTAGTTACTCAAAATTGGTATTTTTAAGCTTATTATATTATTTTTCACCTGTTATTATACATATTATTGTTATTCAACACATTGCAAAATTATCATTTTACTTAAAAATAAACGTTATAATATTTTTAGAACTCAATAATTCTCTGGATGGTGGAGTGAGTGAGAGGACTCAGTATCTCACCACGTCTAGAAATTTATTAGCTTCAGGAGCGGATGCTATTGAGAGATTAATGACTTCATATAAAGTAATTGTATTGCTTATATTTAAACTTTTGAAAAAATGTCAAAATATTCACATACGTGTGTTGGAAGTTATTAATGCATACAATGCAAGGAGAAATTTGGATATATGGTTTTAAAAAATTTTTATATTCGTGTCCGAATTTTCCATACCTTATGTTCAAATTATACTACTTATGTGTATTAAAAATACCATACTGACGTATGATTTTTGGATCATTTCTAACAGTGAACTGATTGGCATAAATAATAAACACTCATGTAATTTTATATTATAGGAAGTTGTTGAATTAGCTGGATATACATACAGGGTAGGAGCTATGTTGGATGTATTTAGTGATATGAGCAAGTGTAAATATCGCAAAAATGGTCTTTCTAACTCCAAAGTTCCGAAAATGTTATCAAAATTACATTACAACAAAGATGGACAAATTGTTATAAGTGGTAACTAATCAAAATAAAACTTTTTAATTAAAAATACATATCGTTTGAATAGTGTATATCTAACATTTTAAATAAAAATGTAGAAAAAAATGATAAATTATTCTTAAATTTGTTTATTAGGTGTAATAAAAAATAGTCCCGATGGAAGTATATCATTGTATGATGTACCAATAGTAACTCCAAATGGTGACGTAGTTGTTCCTAGTTTAACACTTACTGTAAAACCTGGTGAACATCTTTTAATTACTGGCCCTAATGGATGTGGGAAATCATCGTTATTTAGGGTACTGAGTGGTCTGTGGCCTGTATATGCTGGCACACTTATTAGACCTCCAAACTTATGCATGTTCTATATTCCACAAAGGTATAAAACATGTTATCGATAATATATTTTAATATTTAATATTTAATTATATTTTAGACCTTACATGACAATGGGTACATTAAAAGAACAAGTGATTTATCCAGACACACTACAAGATATGCTAGCGAAAGGGATCACTGAACAAGACTTAGAAGCTTGTTTAACTCGAGTACATCTTTACCATTTAATCCAAAGAGAAGGCGGTTGGGATGCAATGGCTGATTGGAAGGACGTTTTATCAGGAGGAGAAAAACAAAGAATGGCGTTTGCTAGAATATTTTATCATAAGTAATAATTATTGAATTACTTAAAATTTTAGATATCCTCCATACTTATTGTGTCATTCTATTTTTAGACCTTCTTTCGCCTTACTAGATGAATGTACTAGTGCTGTCAGTATAGATGTTGAAAGTGACATGTACCAATCAGCTAAGGATTCTGGAATCACTTTACTTACTATTACACATAGACCTTCATTATGGTAAATAAAAAAGGCATATTTCTAAAAATTATCTTTGTATTTTTAACAAATATCTATTTCAAAGTTTACCGATATTTATTGATGTAATTGCTGATAGCAAATTCGATGAAATAAATATTGTATAAAAATCATCAAAAGAAAAATATGAATATTTTTTTTTAACATTGACTGATTTTAAAATCACATTTTTCATTTATATTATTTAAATTTTTTTTAGATAAATTTTATGAATTTCAAATGATAAGTTATTATTTAAATATGTGATTTATAATAAGCTACATAATTTTTGGAATAATAATGAAAAACATTTTTTAATAAATCAGCTTTGATCTAAAAATGATTTCCTCATATATCAAAAAAAAATGTTGAAAAATAATGTGGTATTTTAATTTAATATTGTGATATTTCTAGGAAATTCCACTCTCATATATTACACTTTGACGGCGAAGGTGGATGGAAATTGACGTGCCTTGGTGATATGGTAGAAATTTTTATTTTTATGATATTTGAGTAATTGTATTGAAAACTTACAATTAGTTAATAATAATTATTCATTTTTAGGAAAAAAATACTGGAGTACTCTCAATTGAACCAAAAAATGATAAAATGGTGAATGGTGTTTAATGGGAAAATCAAAAACATATCTTGCCTATCTTAAATTAATTATTTATAAAAATGTGATTATTTATTTAAAATTATATGTTATTATAGGCTAAAAAAAAAGGCTATAAAGTGATATATGTGAATATTTCATGTCTTCCATTTTTATGTTTAGAGTGAAGATATGAAATAATTAGTTTTAAAAATTGTATAGATAGATATAATGTTTTTATTTTACATTCAATATTCTTTTTATTGAATTATTGATTCTTATGTATTTATAAATATATTGTGGTATATGTATTATAAAAAAAAAACTTCACAACACCTTGTTAATATATTTTTAAAGAAAAAAATGAATAAAAGCTTATGACATTTTACTTAAACAGATTAAATTTCTCCACAAAATTAAAAATAAATTTGAATAATTTAATTTTATCAAAATAACCTCGCTTAGTTGTGATCAAATTTTAAAATGCAAACTGTTGAATATAGTGAATTTTATTTAAAAGAGTTAATGTTACTTATCAAGTAGATGTTTTTCTCTTTATCAACATTTTCTCGGCGTAAATTCATTGTAAAAATATAGAGCGTGTTCAGTAAGTAAGGAAACAGATTTTTATTGTTCTTATTATTTGTAACAACTGACCTGATTCCTTACTTACTGAACACTCTATTTATCATTATTTTATATACCTAATTTTAGCTCTGATTAACAATAAAAAATATTTTTTTGTACTATATTCAATGTATGACATTTTGACAATAATCATTCAAAATTGTTTTCCTCTGAAAAAATTATTTCATACTTGTTAATTTCCATTTATTATTGTTATTTTGTTACAGAAGGCTTAAGTTTATAGTCTATTAGATTTAGAATCAATGTTATATTTCAGATGAAATACATTGTAAACAACTAAAATAATTATAAATTCGTCCATTCGCTTTATTTATTCGTTTAAATATACTTATTAGTTTTTTTCATACGAATCATACAAATTCGTTCAATATTGTTCTTATTATTTTATTCATAATTTGTTGAATAATTGAATGCTGATGAATTGACTGTATAAATTTTAACTTGAAATTTTTTTAAGTATGCAGAGTAGCCCAGCATTCACTGACAACTTAAATAATTTATGATCTAGTTAATATATATATATTTTTTTAATAACAGTTATGCTTTAGATCTATATTATATCTGAATAATTTATACTTTTATATTTTATTAAAAATATTAATTATTTTTTAATTTTAAATTAAATAATAATACAATTACTACCACAGAATAAATAAATTAGTCCAAAAGCATCTGCAGTAATGAAATTCTATTTAAATACAAAAGAAAGTATTTGATTGGTGTACAGATTTAGATTTAGGTTATAAGTTTTAATTCTATTAAGTATGAGAATAAGAAAATATTTTAAGTTAGTCAATTCAGTGTACTATTTCACAAATTATTTGATTATTGCTTTATCAAATTTCTTATCATCGTATTAATACCAAGTTTATAAATTTAAAGGATCTTATACTTAGTATAATATCAATCTTGACTCGTAATAAATATATTATAATTTAGTTAGAATAAGTAATTTTATCTCTAAAGAGATAAAACTACTTATTAAATAATAGGTATTGTTCGTGTTATTATTTGAATTAAAGCCGGTCATAGGAATGTTAATAATTTTCATGGAAAAATTCTTACCCATGTCATATTTAGTGTGAAAACATTTAAAGGCAGTTTTAAAGAAAAAAAAATGTAAAAATTTACCGATTTAAAAAATTGTTATTTTTTTGGAGATTCCCTTCATTTACAGTGAACGAGCAATTTTTTTTTCAATTTTTAAGAGCAATTTCTTTAACTAAATACGATTTGTGATCTATTGACGTATGAGTGAAAGAAATCTGTCTGGTGAGAGCTGAGAAAAAGTGGCGACAGACATAAAAAAAACATATTATAGTAAACTCAATACCTTGTCAATTTCACATCAAAGCTAAAATACTATGTCATTTAAATGAACTGTACTAAATTAACTTCCAAATAATAATGATAATAACAATTTTAAAAAAATGAAATAAAATAAATTCTCATAATGAAGTTGATATTTTTAAATATTTTCCTAAGTGGTTTACTTCCGATATGAAACAAATAATTGATAATTTGATAAATAAACTACATTTATAGGCTTGATAAATTTTCCATTAATTTTTTTTTATTGATTTGAATTTAAAATGCATTGTTTTAACAAAGAATTGATATTTGTAAATTTACATTTATATGGTTTTAGCATTCTTTTAAATATATCTAGGGTAGTGTTTACTAAGGCAAGAAACCCAAATAATTACTACGTAAGCACGAGAAAAAAATCTAATAACTTAAAAAAAGGTGTTCATGGAAATAGCATATTTTGATCAAATTCCCCCTCCCTATTTAAAACTTTTGAACACGCTACTGGTTGTATATATCAGTAACATGTATTCTTGTGTAGAAACAAAATAACTCGTTCATTGCCCACACTGTATTTGTTTATTCATATTGAGAACCACATGCCCTTCATCAGATCTGATCTTTTATACTGCTCCCCTCTCTTTAAAATATTTAGCTGTGCTCATAGCTAAGCGCCAGACATGCGAAACCAACTACTGCTGAATAAGTCGGTTGTTGAACACGGTAATTCCATACTGAGTGTAATGTAATGACTAAGTAAGGACGATCAGTCCATTGCTGGTCATCTAACACTAAGTTGTTACTTCTACGTTGCTTTATGTTGACAAAATTTAAACATTTAAAATAAAAAATTTATTTAAGTTATTAATACAAACACAATTATAAATTTTTAAATAATAAACGATAATGAGTTACAATACACAAGGAAATCGTCTTACCGCAGGTAGGAATCAATTATTTGTATAAAATATTTTATTCTTATAATTTAAATTACAAAATAACTAAAAACGAACCAAATAGTAAAAAAATTTTGTAATAGATTTTCGTAATTTCTTTTATTAGTCATCTCAGTTGTACGAAATTTGTATAATTTATAAATTATGTTTAATTTGAAATGACTTTATCTGTCAAGTCTTATTTATATTAATATTATGTTACTATTTGGAGTGTAATTTTTTAATATAAAGTCGTTTTCCCATGGTAAAGTATTTAAATTGACACGACCGATCATCAAAAGTATAACCGAACTCATGTAATAAATAAAGGCACAGTAAGAATTTAGATCTCAAAATCCTAAACGTCGTAGAAATATACCTTACAAATGGTGAACTGTACGATTATATTCAGATCCTATACATTTCCGTGTAAGTCCATAACTTAATGTTATCTGAAAGAAACATAAAATATTTAAAACTATATTATACTTAAAGTTGCTCGGGTCTATAGAAATAAAATAAAATTATTCATCTCATAAATAAAAGTTCTTAATTAAGATATTTTCCAATATAATATATTAGAATTTATTTATCAATTATGTTTATAAATAAATTATTAATAAACACAATATAAAGCTCCAATTATATTGTTATCTAGTCTGTTGTTTATTTTCATAAAATGGCTACTATTTACACGTTATTTGAACTATGACCAAATGGTTAATGCGTCAGCTGCTTGCCATGACAGTATTTATGAGCTCCGGGTAACCTCAACGTGTTTTTTAGTGGCGCCTAATGTTCGAATTCTACTTCTCTGTACAATGAATGCTAGTCCTCAACACAAAATGTTCACCTGGTTTTTTAAATAAGGGTGTACAATCCCAAGGACATATATTTTTGAAATAGAATAAATCAAACCGGCTGACCTAAAAATTATTTCGTGATCTTTGTAGTTTATTAATGCTAATTGTTGATTATATCGCTGAGCTCATTTACTAGTTGAGGCACATTTTCACTGGTGTAATTATGGAGAGATATGGGAGTCATTCCCACCCATGACCAAAATAATTATCCCTCCATGACGAATTACAAATTTCATCTTTATTCTTTTAAGTTTTAATTGTTTTAATTAAAAATAAAAAAATAAACGTTAAAAATGTTTTTGAAAAGCCAAAAGTATGATTCATTTAATTTCTTTTAAACACATTTAATAGTGTTACGTATAACTTAATTTTAAACAAGAACTTGGCATAACTTCAATAATATGAAAGTGATGTTTTTTACTATAGTAAATCGTACCATTACATTTATTCTTAACATACTAGTCCTGAGTAAAAAACCTGAGCTGAATATTTATTAGGAACAATTCTTTAAAAGGAAAATTTTCAACATTTTACAATAATATTGTTACCAAATCTCTAATAACTATTATACTAACATAAACAATATATTATACTTATTTATTATACGTTTTTCAACGCGCATACATTTCCAAAAATGTTGCTTTTATGCAACTAAAATAAGTTTTAACTTTTTACATTTAAGACAATAAATATTATATTATGTAATCATAACCTAATTTCCAATATTATTATTATTTTTATTCGGATTTTTTTGAATAAATTAAGATATTTTAACGTAATGAAATATATGTCAGTACTGTTATTATATTTTTAGTGTAAAAAAAAATAACATGATCTATAAATACCGCTTCACGATAGTTAAGAACAAAAACAAAATGCAACGACATTTAATTTTCTTTGTTTTTAGCTTCGATGTGAAGCTGAGAAGGTATTAATTTTACTATGATGTTTTTTTTTTGTGTCTGTTATCACTTTTTCTCAGCTCTCGCCGAACCGATTTCTTTCAACGATACGTCAAAAGATCACAAATCGTATCTAGTCGAAGAAATTACCCTTAAATATTGAAAAAGTTACACTCGTTCCCCGTAAATGGGGGAAATCTGTAAAAAAATTACAAATTTAAAAATCACTAATTTTTTAATTTTTTTATTTAGAACTGCCATAACTTAATCAGAAATTACCAAATTAATATAAATTTTTTTATAGATGTATAATATTTTACTTATCATTTGGTATATTTTTTTTATAAATTTGACCCTTTACCTGCCCCCAAGGAGGGATATAAAATAACAATTTATTCACAAAAAATTAACTTTTTCAACTTAATTCTATTAAGTGTTCCAGAAATACTGACAATTTTCTATATATCTTAAATTATAGCTAAGGTAATTTACTCTATTATGAAAAAAAAAAAAAAATTCGGACTTTATTTGATTTACATGGTGAAAATGGGTATCTTTTTTTATATTTTTAACTTTAAGATACTATAACTTTTTGAAAAATGTATGGATCATTACAATTTTTTTATGATAACTACTATTTATATTCTTATTTTACGCAACATACTTTTTTTTTAATCGGACCCTTTCTCTTTAAATATTATAAATATATATATATATTGATATATTACACTTATAAATTATAAAACTTGTAATCAGAATATAAATAAGGAAATAGGAGATCATGTAGCTTTTGTAATAATCCACCAATTTTTTAAAATTAAACACTATCTACAGATTTGCATAGAAGCGTTTTTTATGCTAGTGATTTTAATCACTGTCAGATATCTTTATACTTGACCCAACATTACCACGTCCCCACTGTGACGCATCTCCATTGCGCTGGGTTGTTTTTTTTTACTCGATCTTACAATTATTTGTTATACAATGTTATGATTGACATTTAAACAATTTTGAACTGAGTTCAAAAATGTTTACCTGAAAAGAATTATTATTAAAGCTATGACTTAAAGAGTTTTAGTTATTTTTTTTATGAAT